TTAACATATTTAATTATTGCAGCTTTGAGTCATATTCTGTTTGTATTAATTTTGAGGAAAACTAAATCTTTTTTTTTTTGTGAGTGAGTGAGATGAATTAATGCATGTTCACATTTATTCTAGAACTAAAGTAACATCTTACTCCTGATTTCTCTCAATAAGGGGACAGGAGAGCTTTCAATCAATAAATGGGAAGCAAAGTATAACTGGTGTTACTTATTTGAAAAAGTAACTCAGATATTTTCTTGTAAATGAAAAAGTAATGCGTTACTTTACTAGTTACTTGGAAAAAAGTAATCTGATTACGTAACTCGCGTTACTTGTAATGCGTTACCCCCAACACTGTACCCAAGTATTTAGATTACGATAACCACACGCATCCGAATCTAATGGGAATGATGGCACGGATGAACTGGAGGATGAACAACAAAGGCAGAAAATAACCAAAAAAATATTACTTTGCTCATCATTTTGAATCCTGTGTGGAGAAGTTTCTTAGCGGCCTTGTAGTAAACCGTCTCCGGTCGGTTATAAACCATGGCGTTGTCACACATCAGCTTGAAGTCTGCCTGGAGAGTCACACATCAGATCGAAATCAGTTACACTTTTATAGTTAAAAGTCTTCTAATATGAAGACAAACGAAGATAAAAAGAGCAGGACACTTGTGTACCTTGAATTCTGTGATAGTTTTGTATTCGTTTGCATCGATTTTGTCCTTCATTGTGCTGAAGTCCATGGGATGTTTGATTATCATGGAGTATCCTGGAGCAATGGCGTCTGTCACCGGGAAGGCGAAGAATCCGTGTGCATCTTTCCTGTCGAGACAGAAAGACTGTCCTTATATAATGCAGATATGAGGAAAGATTAGAAATACAACGCCATCTGCTTTTTCAGAGGCTCACCTTTGAAGCAAACGCAAGAAATGCTCCAAGAGCTGCTGGCGAGGGGTGCATTCGTTTTCTAGGAAAAAAACAAAAGGACAGACATAAAAATAAAAATCATTTGTAAGTCATTTGTGATTTGTTTTGATGGATACCAGGGCTGTGCATCATTCAGAACTGAACTGAGAATGTCTTTTAAACAGCTGTTTAATTCATGAATTTGAAACGGAATTTATTTGAATTTAAGGAATCGGAAACTGCTGAAAGCGTAGATTTTACAACACTTTGTTCGAAACGGAGCCAAAGAAAACTTATATTTTATCTAAATATATAATTTAATCATTTGAATTTTATTTTCAATATTTCTTTTCATGGTAACACTACAATACGGTTTTATTTTTTATTTATTAGTCGACTGCATTCGTTAAAATGAACGAATAATGAAAAATATTTCTAAAGCATTTATTAATCTTAGTTCATTTTACTTTTGACATTTACTAGTACATTATTAAAATCAAACATCTGTTAATGTTATTTAATGTACATGAACTATCAATGAACAGTCGTGTTTTATTAACTGTATTTAATGGTAACAAAGATAATAAATACTGTATCAAAATGTATTGGTACTTGTCAATTAATGCATTAAATAACATGAACTAACTAGACCTTATTGTAAACTGTTACCTATTAATTTGAATTTAAGCAAGTGAAAACTGCTGTAAGTGTACATTTTAGTATGCTTTGTTCAAAATAGAGGCAAAAAACACTAATGCAATCATAACTCAATATATCATTTTTCAATAAATCCCTTTTCAACAAGGTTCCATTAGTTAACTATATCAGTAAACAAATTAACAATGAAAAATACTTTTAATGTGTTATGTTAATTTCAGCATCTACTAATACATTATTAAATTTAAACGTTGTATCTGTTAATATTAATGTACTTGAACAGTTCTTTTTATTAAAGGTGACATATCATGAAAATCTGACTTTTCCAGGTTTTAAGTGCTATAATCAGGTCTCCGGTGCATCTACCAACCAAGGAAACGTGAAAAAGATTAACCCAGTAACTTTGTTTTGGGAAGCCTTTTTCTGCAAGCGTCTGAGAAAACGAGCGCGTCTGATTTCGCTCCCTTGGTGACGTGGCAGGGATCTCATTATAATATTAGAGCCCCTTAATCTGTAAGTTTCCACCCACGACGCCGTCATTTGATTTCGCAAGCGACAACATGTACTAGTTCTAATGCCAAGGCGAAAGTTTGAGCAAAACATGCTAACTGTTCTGTCTTTGTCTGCACAGACGAGCACAGAACACTATTTACAGTCCCAGCCTCTAATGTTAACAAATGAATAATTACTGTAACAAATGTATTGCTTATTAGTTAATGCATTTACTAATGTTAACTAATAGGCAGGCCCTTATCATTTTCATAAAATTTGGAATATAGTTGTACCTTGTTGAGTTCGACAGGCTCGTACGGGCCGATCCGCCTGCTGCTCCACTTCTACTTTCACTCCAGGATGAAATTCATCTGCTTCTGATTCCGATTCGAATTTGTCCCGCTTCCGCTTCTTCTCCTCTGGAAGCACCTGTGGCACAACGTTCCTTTAGCAACAGCACTCAACTAACTAATTGTGACCCTGGACCACAAAACCAGTCTTATAATTATTGATTTTTCTTTTATGCCAAAAATCATTAGGATATTAAGTAAAGACCATGTTCCACGAAGATATTTTGTAAATGTCCTACTGTAAATATATCAAAGCTTAATTTTTGATTAGTAATATGCATTGCTAAGAACGTCATTTGACGACCAAATATTGTCCGATCCTAACAAATCATACATCAATGGAAAGCTTATTTATTTAGCTTTCAGATGATGTATAAATCTAAATTTCGAAAAATTGACCCTTATGACTGGTTTTGTGCTCCAGGGTCACATTTATCCTCTGGATCATCATCATAACGCAGGCTTTCGATGGCTTTACCTCCACGGGCTTCGGCAGGGTGAACGGCTCCACTGGTGCACTGGCAGCGTTTTCTGACTGCTCTCTCTCACGCTTTTTCTTTTTCTCCTCCTGGATCAAATACATACAGCATTTGTAAGATGAAAGGTAAGTAACTAGATTTAAAAAAAAAAATGTGAGTGGTTTTTGCCTTTGCAATCTAGTGTTATTTTAGTATCACTGAGATACTATTATAATTTTTTTTATATATATATATTTTGAATTATTTTGCATTTCCATTTTAATTTGTTTAGTAATTTTGTTGTGTTTTGTCATTTTTAGTTTTTTTTTAATTATAAAATGTGTCTATATATTTTTTTTTCATTAATGTTTATTTCAATTTTAGTGCATTAAGTTAAACTACATTTACAAAGATAAATGTTGTTTTGGCAACTCGCTGAAATAAAAAAAAAGTTTTATTTATATTTCAATTTTATTTCAGTTATTGTTGAAGTTTATTAAAAGTAACAAAAATGTTACTTAAAAATAACTATTACATCCCTGGTGGAACCAGTGTTATTTTCATAACACTAAATATTATTATAGTTTTATTAATAGTTTGAATTAGCATTTGTTTTTAGATTTTCCATTTTCAGTATAATGTTTGTTAACGTTTTAGCAATTTTGTTGTGTGCTTTTGTTATTTTTGTTTTTAAATGTCTATATAGTTTGTATTTTTTTTCTTTCAGGTTTACGTTGCATTATGTTACATGTTTAATTCATCAAGTAACATCCAACTATTCTCTTGAAATTAGTTACTGCATTCTGAATCCGATTTTGTGTAAAAATGTCTTAACTTTTGGCAGTCCGCTCAAATTATAAGGGAAGAGATAGCCTGAAATATCACTTCCGGTTCACTCATCACACTGGAAAGGTCAAAAGCATTGCATTGTGTGATACAGTATTCCATGCAGCCTTGCACATTTCCGTAGAGGTATTAGCTCATCCGATATGATGAATATGCATCTTGAATATTCTCATACTGTGCACAATATGGACTACACGATTCGATGTCTAAATATGAGTGTTTAAGAGTCGCTCTTTCACTCACCTTCCTCCTCCTCCTACCCTCATCATCTACGTATTTCTCTTTCTCCGATTTCTTCTTCTTCTTCTTTTTCTTCTCTTTGTGCCTCTCCCACTCGTGGTCAGAGCGGTCGTCATAGTAACTGGAGTCGTGTCCGGATCCGGAGAGCTCGGTCACTTCACTGCCGCCCACCTTGAGCACCAGCTTCAGGGGTTTATCCAGGGGTTTGTCCTCGTAGTCTGAAAAACCACACACAAAGCCATCAAGAGTCCGTTCGAAATGGAAGATTTATTTGGTACATGAACGGACTTAATGACATTATTCTGCTGTTCTGGAGGAACTTCTCATTTACTTCTACAAGGAGCATCACAAGATCAAACCCACTATAGTCTAAATACAACAAAATACCCCCTGATAGTCCTGTTAAACTAAATACAGCAATAAAAACCCTCTAGAGGTGTGTATTTCCTTTACGATAATCGTTTAGACCAGGGGTTTTCAAAATAGGGTAACAAATGTAAATAAAATAAACAAAACAATAATAAATCAATTATTTATTTAATTAAAAAAACATTATAAACTAACTAAATAAAACATTTTATTACAATAATAATTAGACCATTATTATCAAAAGAACCATTATTAAATAACCCATTTTATTAAATTTATAAATAAACCGTTAATTCTTTTAACTAAAATAAACATATTTTAGGATGGAGGTCCTTAGAATCAAAAAATTAAAATCCTCACGATTCAGACAACGCCCAAAAGAAATAATCATGAATTAAAATGTATTATTTGTGTGTTTTTGTATGAATGAAAACAGATATATCATGTATTTATAGACTATTTGGAATGATACACAGACTTGCAGAACACTTAGAATGAATTAAAGCGATTTTCAAATGCATATCTAACATTTTACCGTTACCTCCTTCAACCTTTCTCCACTCGGGTCTGTGTTTCTTGTGCTTCTTCCCCATTTTTGCCCTTATTTATGTGGAAAAATCAGGTCTAATCTTGTAGATTTCGCGTATTTCTGTCTCGCTGCCGTTCTTCGACACAACAGCGACAACAACAACATTAGCAGCTCCGGTTAACTTCCGGTTTCAGGCGGTGTCGTTTCCGGGGCAGGCTGACGTCAGCGTGAGCGCGGTAAGTTCGAGTTTGTCTGTCGCTGTTGTGAGGTGAGTGTGTTTATTTCTACCCTGCTTTCTTCATTTACTTTATCTGTTAATAAACATGACAGTTAACAAAATAAACATCAGTAGACCCAAGAAATCAGAAAACAAATTTTCCGTTCGTTATTTGATTCGCGAGATCCTGCGTGATGTTTACGACAATCAAGGCTGCGTTTCAAAATGTAGTGAGCTCCCTAATTAGACACCATGTTTGCGTGATCGCATAAAGAATACAGTGGCACACTGTTATTGTTACTGTTACTGTGGGGTTAAATATCGCTTGCTAATTGGTTGCGTATTAATTAGCTGTTTGCTAGTTTCTGCGAGGTTGCCAAAGGGTTTATTTATAAATGTGACCCTGGACCACAACAAACCAGGCCTAAGAGTCTTTTTTTTTTCTTTTGTGCTCCAGGGTCACATATGTGATATTGTTTATGTCACCTGGTTACACCACATTTGAATTTGGCGTTGTGTAGATTGTTCTTTGTTGTCAGACTGTGTGCTGTGTGTTTTTCAGTCAACAGCAGTTTGAGTAATGGACATTTCTGACCATCACATGACTGATGTCGGCATCATCCGCCCTGATGTGCACATAGAAGTTCATGTCAAATCTCAGAGGTAAGTCATGATTTAATGAACTGCATTATTCTATAGGATGAATAGACACTGATTTAGTTTCACATTCACATTTAGTTTCACAGTCATTCCAAAAGAAATGAAAATGTTGTCCAGCGAGGATGCATTCAATTGATTAAAAGTCGACAGTAGAGACATTTATAATGTTACAAAAGATTTCTATTTCAAATAAATGCAGTTCTTTTGAACTTTCTATTCATCTGTGAATCCTGAAAAATAAAATGCATCACGGTTTCCACAAAAATATTGTGCAGCACAACTGTCTTCAACATTGATAATAATCAGAAATGTTTCTCAGCATATTAGAATGATTTCTGAAGAATCATGTGACACTGAAGACTGGAGTAATGATGCTGAAAATACAGCTTTGATCACAGAAATAAATTACAGTTTAACAGATATACACATAGAAAACAGTTGTTTTAAATTGTAATAATACTTCACAATTTTTAGTGTATTTTTGATCAAATAAATGCAGCCTTGGTGAGCAAAAAAAAACAAAAACATAATTATTAAAAACATTGACCGCCAGTGTATATCGAAATGCAATAACGGTCTCAAAAACAACTTTTCTTTTATGTTGACGTCACAAACCTCTGTTATTTTTGCAGACACTCCCCCCTCATCCAGTTGTTTCTCACCCTACTTTTTTTCCTCATTGAATATCCTTTTCACTTTTCTGAAGTAAAATGAGTTTCTAATGTCTGTACTTACCTGCATGTTTTAAACGGTGTGAATTTGTGTTTGCAGCACAGCTAAGAGGTCTGAGGTGAGGACGCATGTGTTGTCACTGCTGGATCGACACAGCACCGTTTTAGGCTCCTACACATGGACAGAGTTTGATGATGAATTTCTAGCCAAAAATGTGGAGTCGGTCAGTGTAGCGGATTTAACGGGTCCAAAAGTAATTACAGATTTTCGTTGTCATCTGTGAACATTCTGCTTTATATTTGTGACCCTGGACCACAAAACCAGTCATAAGGGTCAATTTTTTGAAATTGAGATTTATACACCATCTCAGGTTTGTTAGGATAGGACAATATTTGATCGAGATGCAACTATTTGAAAATCTGGAATCTGAGGGTGCAAAAAAATCTAAATATTGAGGAAAATCTCCTTTAAAGTTGTCCAAATGAAGTTCTTAGCAATGCATATTACTAATCAAAAATTAAGTTTTGATATATTTACAGTAGGAAATTTACAAAATATCTTCATGGAACATGATCTTTATTTAATATCCTAATGATTTTTGGCATAAAAAAAAAATCGATAATTTTGACCCATACAGTGTATTGTTGGCTATTGCTACAAATATACCCCAGCGACTAAAGACTGCTTTTGTGCTCCAGGGTCACATATCATATACTGAATTTTGGAATGTCTAATGCATCTGTTTTGAGGAGTTTTTACATGTTATTTTTTTAGTTTGAGGTTTATGGGTGTGATATTTCTTTTATATCCTACAGCTTGTGGATCTGAAGGTTCACAACCTTTGTATCCATATTTTCTCTCTGAATGATGACAGTCCGAGCATGCTTGCTCTGGAAGAGGAGGAGGAGCTTTCGGCTGCCAATCATTGGCTCCTCCCAGCAGGTGATTATGCATGACACGCCCCTTTTAATGCAAATCAGATTCAACGATTCCTTAAATGGAATCATTCACCCAGAAATTAGAATTCTGTGATTATTTACTTGTTCCAAACCTGTATGCTGTTATTATGTCTGTAATATAATGCAAATAGATTTTTAATACTTATGGTTTTTTTAACTTATGTTTTTTTGTCCTTTTTTGAGCTTGTCAGTTTAAATCTGCATCCATTTCAAATAGAATAGAATTGAATGGAAAATAGCAGCTTAAATATTTTACCTAATATGTAATTGTCTGTTTCACTGGAAAAAAATAAATAAAATGATAATAAGGTTTGGAGTGACATGGAGGCATAAAATAATAACAACAGAATTTTCTTTTTTGCATTAACTGTTCCCTTAAAAATAGTTATTTGAGTCAATGCTCTTCTGTGTCAGGGTTATAGTTAACTAAACCTAAAACTTTTTTATTTTATAAAAAACATTTAATCTACCTGAAAGGAAACGTTTCTCATATTAATTTGATGAACTAAAACTGAAATAACAATTAATTGAACTATATAGACATGTGTAAAGAAACAAAACTACTTAAAAGTCCAAAAAAAACACAACTAAATTACTAAAACTTTAACCAAAATTGGAAAATAATAATAAATAATAAAAATATATTTTATGTGATTGTAATATTTCTACTTTCCTGAGAATCTTTTTATTGTTTTGACAGCATTGAAAATGTTTTTAATCGAAGTTAATCCAAATTAAATTTTTATGGCACAAATGGGTCTTAATTAAATGTTAATCTAAAGTATGGTTTTCACCACAAAAAAGGCATGAAAAAACAAACACACTTATACACAGTACATTGTTCCAGAGAGCTACATAGTATAAGACTACAACATCAGCCTCATCATTTTCTTCTTCATGTCTTCCAGCTGAGTTTCATGGCATTTGGGAAAGCTTGATTTATGAGGAAGGCATCAAAACACAAGTAAGACAAGCATATTCACAGTTATCTTGGAATTACTTAAATTATGTAGCAGAATTATGCTTATTGGCTTGGCAGAAATAGACGGTATAACCAAAATCCTGTATCACAGCAGAGGTCATTTGATATACATGTTTGATATATATATGTGTGTGTATATATACACACACGCTACCGGTCAAAAGTTTGGGATCAGAACTATTTTTAATGTTTTTACAGGAGTTTCTTCTGCTCATCAAGGCTGCATTTATTTGATCA